TGGATGGTCTCCAAGCATTTTTGAGGCAGCTATCTACTTTGCTCAGTTGGAGCACAGCAGTATGGGAGATGTCCCAAGGACCTCATCAACTGTCTTAAGTTTCTTGATGGAAGAAAGGCTAGGGGTATAAAACCTTAAAAGTGTCAACAACTCCAAACGGCATAAATACACATTTAAATGCTCCAGGGACAAGTTATGTGGTGAAAATGGCCTGGTCAGCAGGAGACAGCAAACAAAATTGAGAGCGAATGATCCATTTTGGTGATTCAGCATTTTCAGTTAGGGAACTAGTTCTTCCACAACTTGAGGAGTGGGAATATAGGAACAGCATCTTTCAGAATCCCAAGTCTGATATATTTATATAGCTCAGTTTTCGGTAGGAAGATCTGGGAAGGTTTACGGTCTCAAATTTTTTATTTTGTATTGGACTTCTGTAACATGAACATCAACACATGAGGAGCAAAATGGGGTTCTCAGCTGCAAGATCAGTTGGAAGGAAGACCTTTAGACAGGACTAGAGGTGGGCATGAACAGAATTATGAACTGAAAAGAAAATCCACCAATCAGGCTGGTTCGTGGTTCGGTTCATAGTTCGCTTTCCCATTTTCCCCAAACAAAACGAAGTGCTGAACTTTTTTTGCCCCTCTCAGTGCTTGGTTTTCAGCAAAATGGATGCCTTGCCCACTTCCTGCTGCTTCTGTGACATGAACATCAACACATGAGGGGAAAAATGGGGTTCTCAGCTGCAAGATCAGTTGGAAGGAAGACCTTTAGACAGGGCTATTTATTTTATTTATTTATTTATTTATTTATTTGATTTTTACCCCACCCCTCTAGACCATGTCTACTCGAGGTGAGCATGAACAGAATTACAAACTGAAATGAAAATCCACCAATCAGGCTGGTTTGTGGTTCGGTTCATAATTCGCTTTCCCATTTTGCCCAAACAAAATGAATTGCTGAACTTTTTTGCCCCTCTCAGTGCTTGGTTTTCAGCAAAATGGATGCCTCGCCCACTTCCTGCTGCCCCGTCATCTCAGGGTCTGGTCCTGACACCTCCTCATCTTCATCATGAGACACCTTTAGAGATACCAGAGAGGAGGAGGAGGAGGAGGAGGAGGAAGGACCAGGAAAGGGAGGTGGCAGGGTGGCAGAAAGCAGGGAGGCTGGTGACAGAGGTGGTGGGAGCCATTACAAACAAACAAACCAAAAACCAGTTCAAACCAACCAGGGAACCACAAACCACCCTGATTCATAATTTCTTTTCCAGTTTGTGCCCATTTCTATACAGGGTCATGAACCCCCCCCCACCTCCCCATGTAGATATAAAAGCAAATAATTAGAAAATTTACTTTTTTTGGCATTTTCCCCTAGACAGAATAACATTGAAATTTAGATGCTGTTGCTTTTCCAGTATGTATTCCATTATTAACAGTGACTGGAAAAGTTGCTGTCTTGGGTTGTTGTTGTTTAGTCGTTTAGTCATGTCCGACTCTTCAGGACCGCATGGACCAGAGCGTGCCAGGCCCTCCTAAATTCCAATGCCTCCTGGAGTTTAGTCAAATCCATGTTGGACCACTCCCATAATCCCATCGGCAGCATAGCCACTACTAGCTCATGTATCAATCCACTGCTAAGGGCATATGTGTTTTTCCAAGACAATCCATGGAACAATGAGCTGCTGCCCTCAGTACAATATAACTCTATCCAACTGACCTGTAAGGAGACTCCCCTTTGGTCTTTCCCCCCTACAAACAAGCTCGGCTGCCTTGTGGGAATTTATGGAAGTGAAGACAAACTCTTAACTGGCTTCACTTTGAGTTTCTTGCCCTGTTCTTAGTGCGTCTCCTGAAGCTCCTACTCAAAAATGCAAAGGAAAGTACCATGGACTCATAGACAATGCTTGATAGATAGGGGTAGAGCCTTAAAAGCCATGGCAGGAGACCTCACACATTGGTTCATTAGACAACCACCTGCCAATGCTGGTAACTCCCAATGGGTATTCAGCTGGTGGTGCTAACAGTGGAAAAAAAAATTCAAAGGAAGCAGAAAATGCCCAACTTTCTTAGTTATGGCCAATAATTCTGAAATGAGGATCCATTTCTTGAAATCTCAAGACCAGTTGCCCTATCTCTATGTATTTGTTCTCTGCCCACCTTAAAACTCAATCCAAGACTCCCTTCCCATGCTTCTGTCTTCTCTCTTCCCCCATTTCCACATCTGATACTTGTTGTTGTTTAGTTGTTAAGTTGTGCCCGACTCTTCGTGACCCCATGGACCAGAGCATGCCTGGCCCTCCTTTCTTCCACTGCCTCCTGGAGTTCAGTCAAATTCATGTTGGTAGTTTCGATGACATTGTCCAACCATCTTGCCCTCTTTCATCCCCTTCTCCTCTTGTCTTCTCTTCTCATGAGATGGCCAAGGTACTGGAGCCTCAGCTTCAGGATTTGTCCTTCCAGTGAGCACTCAGGGTTGATTTCTTTCAAAATTGATAAGTTTGTTCTCCTTGCAGTCCAGGTTTGCCTTGGATTTGTATTGAAATCATTCTATCATTTTTGAGATTGTAACGCAGTACGACTGTTCCCACTCTTTTGTTGACTATGAGGGCTACTTCATTTCTTCTACAGGATTCTTGCCCACAATA